AGCTAAAGTGGAGCATCCATTTAACATAGTTGTTGCATGAAAGTAAATCATGCATTTTACCATCCAAAAAAGTTAAAATTTTTAGTGTTTTAGTTCAAAGTTATTATTTGCTTTTGTAGCAAAATACTCAAATCCTTTTATCAACCTTATTTAGTAAGAAAATTGGAGGAAAGTACACTAAGGGAAACTAATCTTTTTATACACCAAGGGAAATTGGAGTAAAATACAATAAAGTGGTGTTTGGTATGAGTGATCATTTCAAAAATCATGGTGATCTACACATGGTGATTAGATCACCGTATCTGGTAAACACTTGGTGATCCTACGTGGTAATGTTCTTGGATCATTGAGAGTGATAAGATCACTGTCTTGGAAGATAATCTAATTCCCATCCAAAAAGGTGGGAAACTTGTGTCTCCGAAATGAAGTAATATGTAAAATCAGTAGTAGTCAATATTACTCATTTAATATGTGAATTAAAGTTTTGATTCCTCTTAAATTTGTAATTATTTTATATTGTAAGTTTTTATATTTTCGAACTAATATTCATTATAACAGATTCAAAAATAATGTGTATATTTTTACTTTTTCTAATGTTTTATATATAATATAATGTCTTCGTTTTTTTATTATGATTTTAATGTATTAGTTCTAATTTTTAATTCAAATGTTTTTTTACGTAATTTATATTATAAAATTAGTTTACTTAATAAATAAATTTAATAATTTAATTATATTATTATAAAATAAATAAAATATTACTATGTTTTATGAATTTTTATCTTTAAACAACATTTAAATCATTAATTTGTGTAACTATTACAATAAGGATGGTTATTTTCGTACTTTTAAATAAAATAATATTTGATTTTTAGTGATACCAAACATCATGATCTTTAATTCATATGAATTAATGATTGTTAACTAAACAAAATGATTTCAAATCATGAAGTGGTAGGATCACCTTGATAATGAGATCACTTCGAAGATTACATTATCATGGTGATCTTGAAAATGGTACCAAATGCTACTTAAGGGAAAATGTCCGAATTCTTTTATCAATCTTTTTACCCATGGTACCCATTCAATGCCTAAAATATATACGAGACATTGGTCCCTTGTCAGAAAGCACAAAAACTAACATTTTACATTTCGGCTTGCTGGGTTGTACTAGATTCATTTGGGGCATGTTGGAGTCTGATACGGATAGAATACTGAAGGGGGGTATTAATGCTTCTTTTTCCATGCTGATTGTTATTCAAATTTAAAAAATGATGTCTATTCTTCCTCTTATTCATGGCTGAATATATGTTGGATATTCTTCGACTCCGCAGTCTTCATGGGTTACTGATGAGGAGTTTGGAACGGGATATCTCGAGCTGAAGTCTGCACCTTCACTTGCTTCAAAATCTGTGGCTGTAATACAGTTCCTGTAAAAAATGGTTCATCTGGTAATGTTTCTCTGGGTGAGGCTACTGCTGGTAGGGCATTTGCCTCAGGAACCCAACAGTCAGATTTGAATTTGGTCAAGGACCTTCCAAGAACAAAATCTGATGGGCGGTTGGAAAGAGCAGAAAATGTCCCTCTTGGGAAATCTGATCTGAAAACAAAAGTTGGTACATCAGCCAATGGTTCTGATGCTGTATTATCCGTTCCCTTAGCTACTTCACAAGCTGGAACAGAAAAATCTCTTGAAGATCAGAAACAGCTGGATGAATCTTCAAATAAACTGGATGAGCACACAGCCAAAGTTCCTGCAAAGAACTCTGCAGAATTGGAGGTGTTAAATGGTTCTCTTATGGATATTTTTGGCCTTTTTTTTGGGAATTTTTTTTGGTTTTTCACATTTTGCATTTTCCCTCTTCAACAGTTAAAAGCATCAACCAAACGCTCAATGCCTGCTGGATCACTTACAAAGACACAGAAGCATGATCCTGGAAAAGATGATGGCAAGTCAGTGAAAGCTGTTGGAAGAACTTCTACGACCTCTGTCGGTGACAGGGATATTCCTTCTCATACGGAGGGCAGACAAGGTGGGAGTACAAATGGTAACACAGTTTCTGCTCCACCTAAAGGTTCATTGGATATCCTTGGTTGAGTCAAAGGCAGATATTGTAGTTTCTAAGCCTTCTGATACGAAGATTCTGCAGGGAAAGATGATAGCTCTGAAGTCCCAGATGCATCAAGGCCATCTTCTCGAATTGTTCATTCTCCTAAGCAAGATAGTTCTGCTGCTGCTTCAAAGTCCAGTGATAAGCTACAAAAGAGAACCAGTCCTGCTGAAGAGACTGATAGATTAAGTAAATGCCTTAAAGGGGATGTTGAATTGAAAGATCTGGATAGTGAAGTTCGATTATCTGACAGGGAGAGGTCCACAGACCCCCGATCAGCAGATTTTGACAAGCCAGGAACTGATGATCCAACAAGCTACAGAGCTGTGGATAAGCCTTTGGATAGGTTGAAAGATGAGGGAAGTGAGAGACATGATAAGGATTACAGAGAAAGATTTGAGCATTCTGAAAAGTCTCATGCAGATGGTATTTTGACTGAGAAATCAAGAGATAGATCAATAGAGAGACACGGAGGAGACCATTCTGTTGATGAGAGAAGCACTGATAGGAATTTGGATAGACTTGGTGACAAAGCTAAGGATGAGCACAGCAAAGATGAAAGAAGTAAGCACGATATGCTGATACATCCACAGAAAATTCTCATGTTGATGATCGGTTTCATGGGCAAAGCTTGCCTCCACCACCACCCTTACCTCCTCATATGGTCCCACAATCTGTTAGATCTACTGGTAGAAGGGATGAAGATCCTGACAGAAGGTTTGGAAGTAGCAAACATGCTCAGAGACTCTCTCCAAGGGATGAAGAGAAAGAGGTCAGAAGAAAATTCCTGGGTTTCCCAGGATGAGGGAAAGCGCTGAAGAGAGGATGAATTTCGAGAGAGAAAGCGAGAGGAAGAGAGGTGTTGTCAATGAAGGTATTGAACTGCTCTATCTTTATTATTATTATTATTAGTAGTAGTGAAATTTTGGAGTTCATTGTCATATCATCTATGACATTTGCTATTTTGCATGGAGGATTGCCTGCAATGCTAATTAATGAGATTTTGCATGGTAATCTGGATCTTGTGGTTGTTTATCATTTGATTATCAATGCGCTTGATATCATTGAAATGCTACCCTTTTAACCAATCTAGGTCATGAAGGTAAGTTGTTTATGATAGGTCATGGAGCTGATCTTGACTGAAATGATGATACATTTTACATGTATCCTAATAGAGGTATGGTTAAACATGTTTCAGCAGTTTGGTTATTTTGCTTACAACTTATTTAAATTTGCGTCATAACTGACTGAATAAATTTTGGCTCTGAACTGTTGAGCTAAAAGGGATGCAAAATGGCTCTTCTAGTTAGCATATTCTATGGAAATCAGGGGTTTGATATCATATAGGTATGTTTATTGTGCGCCAAGGTTTTTACGTATATTAGCGAGTGGCCCTATGTAGGTGGAAGAGAGGGACAGAGAGAAAGCAAACTTTTTGAAAGAGGATGTGGATTCTACTGGTGCCAAAAGGCGGAAACTCAAGAGAGAACATTTGCCATCAGAACCAGGGGAATATTCTCCGGTGGCCCCTCTGGCCCTTCCTATTGCCATTGGTATGTCACAATCTTATGATGGAAGAGATCAGGACCGAAAGGGTGCCATGATGCAGCATGGGGGTTACCTGGAGGAACCAGGCATGAGGATTCATAGTAAAGAAGCAGCCAGCAAGATGGCTCATCGCGACACAGATCCGTATCCTTAAAAGGTGAGCTAAAATATAGGTATAATAATCTAAACATACTTGCATATTATGTCCTGTGAAACTCATCAATTTTGTTTCTATGCTGCATGTTCATGCAAAGGATAAACGTATATTTTACATCAATGGAATGGGAGTATAGTGAAAGGGAGTTAATGTTTATCCTACCCTGTTTCAAATCTTCTTTTGGGTGTTTTATCAGGTGCGAGGGGTGTGTTAGTGCAAGCTAAAGGATCTAGAGATGAGCCTAACCCCTAAAATCCATTTGAATTCCATGTCCAATTGGAAGGATTTGCAAATAGATCACTCTGTTTTAATGATTTCATTTTGTGATCCCATATTTACCCTTAAAAACTTGTTTTCAACTTAGGTAGAGAGTTTATAGCATGTAAATTCTACTTTACCTTTCACTCCCAAATTAATGTAAAGAGTTATTTCCGCTGCTCTAGTTTACTCTTCTCACTTTGTCACCTGTTTGCTCCTCTTTTACTTTCGATCATTCACACTGCAAAGCATTTGTTGCTTCCTTTTCAAGGTATTCGTTTCTCGGTATAGCATCAAAATCATGCTGCATACAGGATAAATATCATTTTTAATGAAGAACTATCATGGAAGAAAGTTGTCATGAATAAGTTCCATCTGTTTCATAATCTTATTTTACTACATTTTGGCCTTCACCTGTTCTATTGCAAATAGAAAAAGCTAATTCCTTAACCCGAGTCCAGGATGTATGATCGGGAATGGGATGATGAGAAAAGACAAAGACCTGAGCAAAAAGTGGAGGCATAGGAAGTAGAGATGGTGGAAGGTTGTCTTATGCACCGAAGGCTTCTTCATTTATTGACAGTTGGTGTTAGCAGCTTCACGCTTGGCTGAGGTTCTCTATCAGCCTTTGTCTCTGGTTCCCTTCAAATTTTCAGCTTTTGGAATTTTATGGCTCTCTCTCAGGAAGGTTCATGAATTCAAAAGGAAATGCTAATTTATACATTACTATACAAAAAAAAAGTGTAAATTCTTTAGCAGTTGTAACTCTAGAATTCTCTACAATTTCGTTGTATTTCACTTTGGTTAGCTTTACAATTTCGTTGTATTTCACTTTGGTTATCTTTCAATTGAAAATGTATAGCTTCGTCTTTCAATCGATTCTGCTTATTTCCTGCTTAAACACTCGGTAAGAAATACAACTACGATATGAATTCTAAACAGAACTCCAAAAGAAAAACCACCAACAAATACAAGGTCTGAAAAATGAGTAATCCTATTTTAAATTAATGAAGGAAATCAAGGCTTAAATATGCCATGGATTGCTAAACTCAAAAAAAATTAAAGGGCAGGTATGCGTCATAGTCCCCATGGATATTTTGGGTCACTGCTTGCATGTTGTGCAGAAGAAACTGGCATGCTGGGAGGCTGATAAAAGGGATTAGATACATTAGGATTGAAAGGTTGTATCTTCCATTCATCTTTCTCACTCCCATTGCTATAGTTGAATCCCTTGGTGTCTAAAAGCAAGTTGTTTGCCTGAAGACGAGAGAGATTTACTGAAGCATCCAATAGATCCTCCCAGCTATCATTTTCACTATCATCTAGCTGAATCAATGGTTCCCTCTCCTCAACTTGATCAAACTTTTCAGGAAAACAGCTGTCCTCAAATTTCTCCTTCAGAGTATCCACTACAACCAGTTGTTTGTCTCTGTCCTCTTCTGTTAAACTCGACTTGGAATCCATAAGTGATGATAACGATGATGGTGATATGGTGGGTGATGATGACTCTGTTAGCTGCCACATTCCATTGATGAAAGTCTTGAGAGCCTGAATTTGTAGCTGTGTAATCCGAAGCACAAAGGGATACTCATAAAACCCACAGAACCCCATAAGTCTACACCAGTCATAAAACTCCAACAGCTGGTTTGCTTGCAGAGCTGCTTTCTTGTATATCCCAAAAGCTTCTATGCAACTCCTGTATGGCATTTGAAAGAGATTGTCCAACACCAAAACAACGTTACTTCTAAATATGGTGTAACAAATGAAGCTGTCCCGAATGATGTATTTCATTGCAGTCTGGATCAAAAAGCTTCTGGCTGCAGCCCCACTTGGTCTACAATCCATAACTCGATCAATTAGGCTTTGAAGCTGTGGCAAAATCTCAAGCATCCTGTCTATTTCTTTCATTTTATCTGCGATACTTTCAGGCATTTCCATTTCTTCATTGGAAAATACCTTACCATCTAACAAGAAGCGCCCAAGAGCTTCATCTAATAAATGTGCATATGATCTGATAAACGTGGTGTAACTCTCAGGATTGGAGGAGGAAGCATCCTGGAAACGACAAGGGTATAAAGAGATCAAACCATTTGATCGATTCCATAGCAATTCTGATCGAAAGGGGCTATCTTCGGGCAATAATCTAAGCAATCGGTGTAGAAGGAGTAAGCATTTGAGTGCAACTCGCCAGCTTCTAGTCTTTCCAAAACGGCGAGTGAAGCTAAGTGAAAAAGCAAGGCAACAAGGTGGAGAAATGGAGAGTATCTTGAGGAGCTCATGGACATATTTGTCAGGCAATGGCAAGTCATCCGGGGCTGTTGCCTTTACAATGATGAGTTCAACATTGCCAAACCCTCCAATTGTGGCTATTTTAGCATAGCTAACAGAGCTGTGCTCTCTTACATGAGTGAAAAATTGCCAGAACCGCTTATTCATGGTTTCCATGAGACCAGCAGAAAGCCTTCTATGTTGGGATCGAAATGCATAAACATGATGACATGACTTGGTTATAAAAAGGGTAGCAAGATTTACACTTAGTTTCCCTTGGTATGACCGAAACACAGCTACAACTACAAGAAAAAATGTTTTTAATACCAATTAAAAAATGTTGTCAACAGGTTGGGCAAAAGAAAGATTATGTATCTCATCATTGATTCTCTTATAGGAGATTCTTCGGCTTTAGATACCAAATTTACGTACTTTTTAGAAAGGAAAAAAATCGCAAGATGAGAATGAAAAAAAAAAATTATAAATGTAAAATTTTGAATTTTAAAATTATGAGGTGCCAGCATGAATCACTTTAATTTTACGTTTTAAATTAAATATTGTTGGTTTGTGTGCATGTCCTCGGGGACAAATACAATTTATGCTGTTTTCTCATTATTATCTTAAATTGATACAGTACAGGTGAGTTTGCTTTAGCTTCAATGGGGAATCATTGTGAAATACTACATGTTAACAAGAAAAAGCACTAGAGTCAAAGACAATAACAGTATTACCTTCCATTGATGAGAAACAAATATAATTTCATAATAATTTTCATTTAAATAAATTTGTTAACTGTTCAGTCGTTTTGGAGTTCGATCAAAGAGATTTTCATAGCATTGAAAGTTGCGTTTTCAATGCGTTGGGAACCGGACTCTTAAATAAACCCTAAATATCTTAAAGTTTTTTGGTGGCGGGAGCGTCGTGGTGGTGGCGGAGAGCGTGTGCCAGAATCTGTGTGGTTTTGGGGAATTGAGGCAGAGGAATGTCAATGGAGTTGTCAGTGGCGGAGGAGAAGAAATGGCGAGGACGGTGGCAGCGAGGGCGGACGAACGTCGTGTAGAGGTGAGTAGTTCGAAGGAGCCGTTCCCGCCGGCACCGGTTCAGCCAGTGGCGAATAGAAATGTGGCTCATAAGCTACAGACAGCTGAGACGTTGGATTGGAAACGGCTCATGGCAGAGGATCCTAATTGTGAGTTTTTACAAAATTTCATTCTTTTATGAAATTCTTTCGTTGAGAATTTGATAAATGTTTCAAATATGATTTTAATAATTATTTCCTATTCAAGAGAGTTAAGAAAGAATTAAAGAGAACTATTATTACAATGAATTGGCTACATCAATGATTACGGATGATGGTAGAGTGTCACTCTGGTTAGTATTACTAGATTTTAAAATAATCATAGTTGATGGTGTAGAGACTGAGATAAAGAGATTTCTATTGAATATGAATATATAAATATCTTGAAGTAATGCATTTGTTTTATTGAAGTGGTTCAATGAGGTAGAGAGTTTTTAGAACACAGGGTCTCATGTCCATCAAGCCTCATCATAAACAACAGTTGAGTCGAATGGAGAAATTCATCTAGTTGACCGGAAGTAGTTTGTGATTGAGGCTTAGTTTTGTTGATGTATGTTAGAAGCATATACAAGTTATCTACTTCATCTGATGTATGTTATCTACTTCATCTGATGTATGTTTTTGTATGTTGTAAGCTTTAATTCTGTGAGCATTGCTCATGATCTTGGATCCAGGACGTTATGCTTGTTGACTTACAGTCTGACTACTTGGTGGAATTTTCCATAGAAAAATTTTCTCTGATTTATTAAGATATATAAGGATTCTGACCTTAAGTTTGGTTGCTTGGGGGAAGAAGTTAGGGAAACTGAGCAAGTGAGCGTATCTGCATTCTCTGGTTTATTTCAGTTATCTTTCGTGGAAATGTAAGTTTAAGATCTACTCTTGTTATGGTTCTCTGCTTGTCAGATCTTTATAGAGTGGAGAAATCGCCTGTGAAATACTTTTTGGAAGAAATGTATAATGGAAATTCATTGCGGAGCACCACAACACTTGGTAGCGAGACAGAACGAGAGAGAGTGTACGACACCATCTTCTGCTTACCGTGGAGATGTGAAGTGGTAATCGTAGCTCTCCCTTTTTGAATTTTGATAGGGATAAAAGAAAAAAGTGAGAGAAAAAAAAAAGAGAAGAGAAGATGGATTTTGTTGGTAATTTCTACCTGTACCTCATCATTTTATTAATAATAAGTTTTCTTGCCCGTATTATCATTGTTTCTTGGATTTACATTTTGCTCCATTTGGTAATTATTAATATTTAAATTTTGTGCATTGAAGATTGAAATGTCTACTCTATTTTTTGAAACACTGGAGAATGGTTTACTTCTGGTGGATTGCTTAATCCAATTGATTTATCTTCTGGTAAGCTTATATTTTTTTTTTGAGATTTCTTAAGCGCAAGAATATTATTTCAGCTTATACATGTTGGCTACTTTGTCTGCTTCGGTTCGTTTCTGTCCTTGTTAACTATCATGTGAACAGGGATTTTGATTATGCTTTGGAGGCTCCTGACTACAAGGTTGGCTATTATTCTATGATAAATACGCACAGACATACTTTTAATACATATGATTTATTAGGAATACATGCATGCATGATGATGCAAATGTACCACACAAATATATGCAAATAGATGAGCATTTTGTGGTTGGTTTATGTTTCATACAACATCTCATTATTCATTTAGACTGATTTGGGTTCCCCATGCCCGTAACTAATTGTGTTAAACAGTTCTGCTTTTACTCTTTTCAGCTCATCCCTTGAAGTAGTAAAATGATTCTGTTAACATTATGACTCATTCTTTCATTTGGAAGTTTCAGAAAGGCTGGCATCATGCCTGGCTTTTCTTGAAGAGGACAGTCTTCATAATCATCATCTTCTTTTTCTTAAATGGGTTACAACTCCAATCCTTCCATATATTTAATACTTTCCTCCACTTGATTATTCTTTTCTTTGTTGGAATCACTTTGCTCAAACAATCTGTGCTCTGAGAAGATATGATAGTAGATTCTGGCTTGAGATTGCTGGAGATTGAGTAGCAGAAAGTGTAGCATGGTGGTAATAGGCCCTAAAATTGGAACCTGAAAATTTTTATGGTGTCTTCTTAGTTTCCTTTTTTAGTTTCATTTTAACGAAAGGCAGAAAACAAATTTGAACCGTGCTTGGTAATTTAAAATGAGAACAATGCTTTAGAAAATGGAATTTAAATTGGCAGAAAACTGAAACAATTTGCAAATGATTTCACTGTTTTTTTTTTTTTTAATTAAGACGAGAATAAAAAAGAAATAGTTTTTTCTCATAAACAACATTTGTTTCCTAAATATTAGAAAGTTGAGAATGAAACTATTCTTAAAGTGTGCATACAAAAAATTGTTTTTTCCTCTTTTAGTCGATCAACATTTGATTCTTTCAGGCTATGTATGAAATTATGCTCTTCGGCTGTCTATATAGTTCTTTTTTGGCATATAGTGCAGTTATTGTAACATGTAAAGATTGCAAAATAACCTAACCATGTTTGTGGCAGGCAGTTCAAGTGGCCTTCTGCAGCAGAGCTATGTGATTTTGGCTGCTTTGCTGTTCTGGCCAGTGGAGTCATTCTCCTGGAGCGAACAGGTATAGCAGGACATATCACTGCATGCATGTTTGAAATATGCAATCATTAGCAAATATCCAAGTGTTATTGCTGCTTGTTGAGACTTTGAGGCATAATTAGTGCTCTTCCACTAATGAACCAAGAGTTGAACAAGTAATACTGATTTCATAGGTGGTTTTCTTTTCTAATTTTAGTTTTTGTCTTCCCAGATATCAGCCTGATATATCACATGATCCGTGGTCAAGGAACAATCAAACTCTGTGGTTTACAGTGTGTTGGAGGTGAGAATGAACAACTGGACCTGAGAACTTTTACCTATTTCCAAATTACTTTGAAGGATTTACTGATATGCTTTAAGGGCACAGATCAGATGTTGAACATTTACCATGAACAAAGCTATGGATTGTCTGAGATTTTGATGCTTCATGGATTTAGGGCCAGAGTTTTGATGGACATGTTGGTTAGAAATTCTGGTGTATTTTTACTTCCAGTTATAAATTAAAAGTTTGTGTAAAAAGGAAAGAAAAAAAAGTAAAAAGACAGAAGTGGAAACATATGGGAAATCTTTAAGGTCTTTCAGAAGTTTTTGGGAGTTTCACTCAGAAGATTTTTAATAGTGTCACTATCAAAAGGATGCAAAAGTTTGTCAAGGAATTTCATCAAGCAGACTTTCCGAGTTGCTCATAGAATTTTCTGATCTTCCCAATCTAGTAATTTTAGAACCAAACACGCTCAACAAGTGCTACTAGAGGTAATTACAATGTGGCACTGTGGTGATGTCCATCATTGGAATTCACGTTGGTTTTTCAAACCTTAATAGACAACTTAAATGACAGGGTGGATGAGGTAACCACTAAGGTGGTCAAGAAGACATGCTTGTAATACTTGGAAAACCTTGGAATGTACAGAGAACAGGTTTCTACCTGTTGAGAAGTAAATATTCCTTCATATATTGAAAAAATGAGAAATTTTAACTGCCAACCTTTAATCATTGAGCTCCATAATTGAAATTTGTCAACACAATTGCTTATTACGGCGGATGGCCTCTAATCTGAATAGCATATTCCTTAATGCAATATTAATAAATTGTTTAAAGTTGGGAGCTGGGACTTTTTTTTTCCGAGGGAGAATTACAAAATTTTTATGTGAATAATATCTCAAAGGAAGGGATTAAGGTCATGGATTCAAAGTTTGCTTAATATGCTGCCTGCACTTGAATAAATTCTATTTTTTGGAATAAATTTTTATTTTGTCACTGACTAAAATGATTAATAGTATGTTATTATCAAAGTTTCCATAGCTGGGCCTTCTAAAGATTAGATAGCCTTTTAGAGATTTTTCTTTAGATTCATGACTGTGAAGTGACATATATGGTTTCATTTATCTTGTACCTCTCTGATAGGATCTATTTCTACTACAAGGAACTAATGTGTGTTTTCCTCTAGCATCCATGTTGATTCTACTTCCGTTAGCTGTATATTTTTACTAGTGTACGGCTGAATTTTGTATGACACTGGTTT